GGCCAACATAGAAATAGCACCCATAGAAACAAAACACATTGATCTACAAACCCTGGCTCAACATAACAGTGTCCCCAGAGCCAGGGCGTGACAGTACCCCCCCTTAAAGGCGCGGACTCCGACCGCGTCAACCAAATACCACAGGGGAGGGACCGGGTGGGCACTCCGCCTAGGCGGCGGATCCGGCTCCGGGCCTGATCCCCGCTCCCTCTCCAACCCCCCAAAGTACCCCTGGTCCGGTCTGGCCCCGCTGGCCGGAGCTGGACTGCACACTGGTGGAGCGGATTGCTCTAGCTCCGGCGTGAAGCAGCTGATCCGTGCTGAACCAGGCACCAGTGGAACAGGCACGGGCTGTGCCGGACTGACGACGCACACCACTGGCTTGGTGTGGGGAGCAGGAACGGCCCGAGCCGGGCTGACGAAACGCACCCCTGACTTGGTGCGGGGAGCAGGAGCGGGCCGAACCGGGCTGACGAAACGCACCACTGACTTGGTGCGAGAGCAGGAACGGGCCGAGCCGGGCTGACGAAGCGCACCACTGACGTGGTGGTGCGGGGAGCAGGAACGGGCCGAGCCGGGCTGACGAAGCGCACCACTGACTTAGTGCGGGGAGCAGGAGCGGGCCGAACCGGGCTGACGAAACGCACCACTGACTTGGTGCGGGGAGCAGGAACGGGCCGAGCCGGGCTGACGAAGCGCCCCACTGACTTGGTGCGGGGAGCAGGAACAGGCCGGACCGGACTGGCGACGCACACCACTGGCTTGGTGTGGGGAGCAGGAGCGGGCCGGACCGGGCTGGCGACGCACACCACTGGCTTGGTGTGGGGAACAGGCACGGGCCGTGCCGGACTGACGACGCACACCACTGGCTTGGCGTGGGGAACGGGCACGGGCCGTGCCGGACTGACGACGCACCCCACTGGCTTGGTGTGGGGAGCAGGAGTGGGCCGGACCGGGCTGGCGACGCTCACCATAGGCTCGGTGCAGGGAGCAGGAACAGGCCGGACCGGGCTGGCGACGCGCACCACAGGCTCGATGCGAGGAACAGGAACAGGCCGGACCGTACTGGGGACACACATCACTGGCCCTATGCAGGGATCAGGAACGGGCCGGACCGGACTGGTAACACACACCAGTACCTCTCGCCGTGCCTCCACACTTTCCCTCTCCTCTGTGACCAGTGGCCCCCTTAACCTGGCGGCCTCCCTTGCACACCCGCTGGACCGCTCCATCGCGGCCTCCTGCTGCCCCGTCGTCCCCGGCGTGAGCCCCCCCCCTAAAAAATTTCTGGGGGTCTCTCCTCCCCGTGGGCCAGGCCTCTATAGTTCTCGCCCAACTCTCGCTCTTCTGCCTCCAACTCCAGCCATTCTGCTCTTCATTAGGCTTGACCCAGTCGAGACTCTTCCTCCACTGTTCCCAAGTCCACCCTCTCTGCTCTTCACTCGGCTTGACCCAGTCGAGGCTGCCACGGAGATCTGCTAGGGATTTCCCTGGCGATGGCTCCTCGACTCGCTGCTTGGTCCAGTTCTGGTGGGATTTTCTGTCACGATCGTTGAACAGAGATGAGGACCAAGGCGCAGCGTTGCAGGAAAACATACTCTTTATTTAGCGTCAAATGACCAAAACAACAAAACAATATCGTGACAGTTCACGGTCTAACACAAACCGACTGGAAACAAAATCCCACAAACACGAATGAAAAACAGACTGTTTAAATATGGCTCCCAATCAGAGACAACCAGCAACACCTGACACTCGTTGCCTCTGATTGGGAGCCACTCTGGCCAACATAGAAATAGCACCGATAGAAACAAAACACATTGATCTACACACCCTGGCTCAACATAACAGTGTCCCCAGAGCCAGGGCGTGACATTAAGCCATTTTGGCACAACTTTGGAAGTATGCTTGGGGTCATTGTCCATTTGGAAGACCCATTTGCGATCAAGCTTTAACTTCCTGACTGATGTCTTGAGATGTTGCTTCAATATATCCACATAATTTTCCTTCCTCATGATGCCATCTATTTTGTGAAGTGCACCAGTCCCTCCTGCAGCAAAGCACTCCCACAGCATGATGCTGCCACCCCCGTGCTACACGGTTGGGATAGTGTTCTTCGGCTTGCAAGATACCCCCTTTTTCCTCCAAATATAACGATGGTCATTATGGCCAAACAGTTATATAATTTTTTCATCAGACCAGAGGACATTTCTCCAAAAAGTAAGATCTTTGTCCCCATGTGCAGTTGCAAACCATAGTCTGGCTTTTTTATGGCGGTTTTGGAGCAGTGGCTCCTTCCTTGCTGAGCGGCCTTTCAGGTTATGTCGATATAGGACTTGTTTTACTGTGGATAAGGATACTTTTGTACCTGTTTCCTCCAGCATCTTCACAAGGTCCTTTGCTGTTGTTCTAGGATTGATTTGCACTTTTCACACCAAAGTACGTTAATCTCTAGGAGACAGAATGCGTCTCCTTCCTGAGCGGTATGACGGCTGCGTGGTCCCATTGTGTTTATACTTGCGTACTATTGTTTGTACAGATGAAAGTGGTACCTTCAGGTGTTTGGAAATTGCTCCCAAGGATGAACCAGACATGTGGAGGTCTACAATTGTTTTTCGGAGGTCTTGGCTGATTTCTTTTGATTTTCCCATGATGTCAAGCAAAGAGGCACTGCGTTTGAAGGTAGGCCTTGAAATACATCCACAGGTACACCTCCAATTGACTCAAATTATGTCAATTAGCCTATCAGAAGCTTCTAAAGCCATGACATATTTTTCTGGAATTTTCCAAGCTGTTTAAAGGCACCTTCAACTTCGTTTATGTAAACTTCTGACCCATTGGAATTATGATACATAAGTGAAATAATCTGTCAGTAAACAATTGTTGGAAAAATTACTTGTGTCATGCACAAAGTAGATGTCCTAACTGACTTGCCAAAACTATAGTTTGTTAACTAGAAATTTGTGGAGTGGTTGAAAAATGATGAATCCTCTGACAATGCCTAGTATAGAGGTCCTGGATGACAGGAAGCATGGCCCCAGTGATGTACTGGGCCATACGCACTACCCTCCGTAGTGCCTTGTGGTCGGAGGCAGAGCAATTGCCATACCAGGCAGTGATACAACCAGTCAGGATGCTCTCGATGGTGCAGCTGTAGAACACAACCTGTTCCACTACAGCCCTGTCGATGAGAATGGGGGCGTGCTCAGTCCTCTTTTTTCCCCTGTAGTCCACAATCATCTCCTTTGTCTTGATCACGTTGAGGGAGAGGTTGTTATCCTGGCACCACACGGCCAGGTCTCTGACCTCCTCCCTATAGGCTGTCTCATCGTTGTCTGTGATCAGGCCTGCCACTGTTGTGTCGTCGGCAAACTTAATGATGGTGTTGGAGTCGTGCTTGGCCATGCAGTCATGGGTGAACAGGGAGTACAGGAGTGGACTGAGCACGCACCCCTGCGGGGCCCCCGTGTTGAGGATCAGCGTGGCAGATGTGTTGTTACCTACCCTTACCACCTTGGGGTGGCCCGTCAGGAAGTTCAGGATCCAGTTGCAGAGGGAGGTGTTTAGTCCCAGGGTCCTTAGCTTAGTGATGAGCTTTGAGGGCACTATGGTGTTGAACACTGAGTTGTAGTCAATGAATAGCATTCTCACGTAGGTGTTCCTCTTTTCCAGGTTCCAGGAGGGCATAGCGGGATTTCTTATAAGGGTCCGGGTTAGAGTGTCACTCCTTGAAAGCGGCAGCTCTACCCTTTGGCTCAGTGTGGATGTTGCCTGTAATCCATGGCTTCTGGTTGGGGTATGTACGTACGGTCACTGTGGGGATGACAGCAAATTCAGCATTTGCTATTAGTCGTGATTTTTTATCGTTTGACAGCCCTAGTAATTCATAATGAAATGTTATAAAGAAATTATATTAAATCCTGAGAAAATTTTATCTATTTTCTACCCAATTTCGTGATAGGCGAAGGTCGAGTCATGCATCCTCCGAAACATGACCCGACAAACCGCACTTCTTAACACCCGCCTGCTTAACCCAGAAGCCAGCCGCACCAATGTGTCGGAAGAAACACAACCTGCAGGTGCCCGGCCCACCACAAGGAGCCCCTAGATCACGATGAGCCAAGTAAAGCTGCCCCAGCCAAGCCCTCCTCTAACCCTGACGACACTGGGCCAATTGTGCGCCACCCTATGGGACTCCCGGTCACAGCCGGTTGGGACACAGCCTGGGATCAAACCCGGGTCTGTAGTGACGCCTGAAGCACTGTGATGCAGTGTCTTAGACCACTGCTCCACTCGGGAGGCCCAGAAATTGTATCTCTTAATAAATGTGTATCTACATTTGAATAGCTTTAGAAAATGATATCTCTAACTAAATGTATGTCTACATTTGAATACGTTTATTTTTTGTGCCCTTTCAATATTTGGTGATGCAGTTAATTTCATAAAACAAATCTCTTAAAAATCAAAAACAGCGTCTTTCTCTCCCACTCTTTCTAAGATCAGAGAAATTGGTTCCACTGAAATGTGCATGATGCCAACTAAGGGGGTTTCATTTTCCAATCGACAGATAGGACACATCACTTATAATTCTCAGATTGGATTAACACATTTAATGGTGGAGGTTTGGGGACCGTAATATGTAGGACACTCAGTAATCAGAGACAAAATTGCAATATGCCGGATTTAATGAAGTGCTACGCCCACCTACCCTGGCTTCATTTCAAAGGGGATTAGTTTTATGAAGAATTATCCCCGCTCTAAATGTGTGCTGCCAATGACAACCAAACATAGAGTTATTACTGTAAGATGGGCAGCTCTGGCTGCTGGGGGAGACTGACTGGTTCTTACCAGGGTTTCTTCACCAGAATAGAAAACAGATATATCCAGGTTTAGAGTTTTCAGACACCATCTCATTTACCATAATATCTAGTACACAATAAATTGATGTATTATGATGTATCATCAGGCATATGGGAGAATTTTGAAGGAATCTCTCAACAATGGTCAACAGTGAACAAATAGACCAGGCAAAGTCTCTGAAACAGGTAAGGTCCTCTCTCATCTGAATATAATCCATAGTGAACAGAGTATGTTGGATGGGTAAGAACATATCCCCTTACCAAAAACCTACGTAAGACCCCTTCATCCTTTTGCCACATTCATGGCCTGTTGAATCCATATAAAGGTCCTTGGTCCCATCAAAGATGCTAGTAGAAAAACCACTGCCCTGACAGAATGAACATGATTCAAGGTACTTTATACCCCCTTCAGAGAGAATGTAGGATATGATCAATAATAATATGATCAATTTAATAAAATGACTAGAAAGATATTGGACGTATCCTTTTGCTTGCAGTAGGTATTTTGCTAGTAGTGCAATTAGAGAAAAGAACTATAGCCATTGCTGGCTAATTGTATAGCTATATTGGTTCTGGGTATTTTTAATCTGTGTGTGTATGTGTTTGTGTGTGTCTCTACTCAGTCTTGCAGGGTGTTGTGTGGACAGTGCTACTCTGGCCCTGTCTGCTCTCCTTGGGTGTCCCTCTGGAGTGTAAGGATGAGCAGGGCAGCATCACACGCTGTGCCTCCATCTCCAAGGAGAAACTACTGGACCGGGTCATCCAACACGCCGAGCTCATCTACCGTGTCTCTGAGGAGTCCTGCACTCTGTTTGTGAGTACCACACAACTCCTTCGTTCTTCCGACATTTCCAACGTACCTCCTCTAACAGTACCCATTGAAGAAATGTGTTCATTCATATCTGTGTGCATTATATGTGCCCTGTGTTTTGGGGAAGTCCTATGGAAATGCTGTATATACCCTACCAATCCCTTTGCTATGTGCTCCACCAATATAATCAGCACCTTGTAGCTTCAAAGTAGTTTCCCAACTCTCCTCAGGCAAATAATGATTTATGGACGGTATAGAATCAAGACCATACTGATAATGTTGTACTGTGCTGTGCATTCATATTGGGGTTTTCAGTAGCAGGAAAGCCCATACGGTTCCCTTCCATACTGAGAGTAGGGAACCAGCATCGGCTTTGAAATGGAAACATCATGTATCTTCTCGTTATTGGGAAGACACTGCATGAGGCCAACAGATGAGAACACGTTGAAGAACAAAACACCAGCCGCTCTGCTTGTAGCTCAGTTGACAGACGGCTCGTCTCTATTGGCTGGGGTTAGCCGAGCATGAGTCAGTGTTTATCTGCCATGTTGTTCCTTGTTCCCTGTCTGTTTGATACATAGGAGGAGATGTTTGTCCCTTTCCCCATGCGCTCCCAGAGGAACCAGGCAGGATACACGTGTGCCACCAAAGCCTTCGCCATCCCAGGCTCCAAGAGCGAAATCCAGCAGATCTCGGTAAGCAGAAGGGAGCTGGACGCTCCACTGTTTCTCTCTCTCTCTCTCTCTCTCTCTCTCTCTCTCTCTCTCTCTCTCTCTCTCTCTCTCTCTCTCTCTCTCTCTCTCTCTCTCTCTCTCTCTCTCTCTCTCTCTCTCTCTCTCTCTCTCTCTCTATCTCTATGTGTTTATTTGGGCTTTTGTCTTCATTTCTGCCAATAGAAATGTCTTCCTTCATTGATTGTGTGTATGATTGTGGAACTCCACACACACACACACACACACACACACACACACACACACAGACACACACACACACACACACACACACACACACACACACACACACACATACACACACGCCTGTGTGTGTAGCCCCAAAACACAAAACAGCATTGGTGGTGCATAGAAACAACTTGTCGCTTAACGTATCAGTGAGTCTTCTGTCTCTGTAGTGCCATTTTCTGTGGTAGATTGTTTTGGCCGATTGAACATAAATTAGGCCTAATTATTCATGAGAAGTCTTGAAAATGTCCCTTGCTACCACCATTATTATTACTATTATTATTATTAATATTATTAATGTATATACACTACCGTTCAAAAGTTTTGGGTCACTTAGAAATGTCCTTGTTTTCGAAAGAAAAACAATTTATTTGTCCATTAAAAGAACATCAAATTGATCCGAAATACAGTGTAGACATTGTTAATGTTGTAAATGGCTATTTTAGCTGGAAACAGCAGATTTTTTATGGAATAGCTACATAGGCGTACAGAGGCCCATTATCAGCAACCATCAGTCCTGTGTTCCTGTGCACGTTGTGTTTGCTCATTAGAAAACCCTTTTGGAATTATTTTAGCACAGCTGAAAACTGTTGTGCTGATTAAAGAAGCAATACAACTGGCCTTCTTGATACTAGTTGAGTATCTGGAGCACCAGCAATTGTGGGTTCGATTACAGGCTCAAAATGGCCAGAAACAAATAACTTTCTTCTGAACTCGTCAATCTATTCTTGTTCTGAAAAATGAAGGCTATTCCATGTGAGAAATTGCCAAGAAACTGAAGATCTCATACAACGCTGTGTACAACTCCCTTCACAGAACAGCGCAAACTGGCATATTAAGAAAAACATACACATTCATCAACATAGAGGTCTCCGATCATTACTCTGAACTGACCAGGGGGGGCCAGAACATCTAATTGCAGAGAGCTCTGTAAGCTGTTCCACATAAAGAAAATAAAAATAAAATAAAAGCAGCTTTACCCAACTCTGTGGAGACCGAAAGGGCCTCCAGTGTTATCCAAGACTGAGACCAGATTTGGTCATTTGTAAGTCTAAATTGAAATAATGATGACAGATACATAGGAAGTTTCTGCATGAGTGCTTTGTAGATAAACACAAGAAAATGCTGCTCTCTCCTTACATACGAAGAGGCCCAACCCACTTTTTGAAAGAAAACACAAAGGTGAGTTCTATAACCATCACCAGTAACAATGGAAAACAGCATCTAAGTGTAGATGCTGCTGCATGCATATAGATAATATCCCTATAATCTAAAATAGACATAAAAATTACCTGGACAATTTCCTTCCTATTAACAAAAGTCATAGATGCTTTGTTTCTGTAAAAGAAACCAACTTTGAACTTCAACTTCTTCACCAGCGGTGACATGTTTTTTAAATGACAGTTTGTCATCAAGCCAGATTAGATTCAATAGTTACCTCTGCAGTGCTTCAACATCAGACTTCAAATGTGAAAAGACTTGGCCAACCAATGGAGCAATGAAATACAACACTGTATCATCTGCATACAAATTAATATAGTGTCTTCGGAAAGTATTCAGACCCGTTGACATTTTCCACATTTTGTTACGTTACAGCCTTATTCTAAAATTGATCAAACATAATACCCCATAATGACAAAGTAAAAACAGGTTTTTAGATGTTTTTTATGCAAATGTGTAAAATAAAATAAAACGTAAATATTACATTTACATAAATATTCAGATCCTTTATTCAGTACTTTGTTGAAGCACCTTTGGCAGTTATTACAACCTTGAATCTTCTTGGGTATGACACTACAAGCTTGGCACACCTGTATTTGGGGAGTTTCTCCCATTCTTCTCTGCAGATCCTCTCAAGCTTTGTCAGGTTGGATAGGGACCGTTGCTGCACAGCTATTTTCAGGTCTCTCCAGAGATGTTAGATCGGGTTCAAGTCCGGGCTCTGGCTGGGCCACTCAAGGACATTCAGAGACTTGTCCCAAAGCCACTCCTGCGTTGTCTTGGCTGTGTGCTTAGGGTCGTTGTCCTGTTGGAAGGTGAACCTTCGCCCCCAGTCTGAGGTCCTGAGTGCTCTGGAGCAGGATTTCATCAAGGACCTCTCTGTACATCCCAACAGCATGATGCTGCCACCACCATGCTTCACCGTAAGGATGGTGCCAGGTTTCCTCCAGACGTGACGCTTGGCATTCAGGCGAAATAGTTCAATCTTGGTTTCATCAGACCAGAGAATCTTGTTTCTCATGGTTTGAGAGTCTTTAGGTGCCTTTTGGCAAACTCCAAGTGGGCTGTCATGTGCCTTTTACTGAGGAGAGGCTTCCGTCTGGCCACTCTACCATAAAGGTCTGATTGGTGGAGTGCTGCAGAGATGGTTGTCCTTCTGGAAGGTTCTCCCACCTCCACAGAGAAACTCTAGAGCTCTGTCAGAGTGACCATCAGCTTCTTGGTCACATCCCTGACCAAGGCCCTTTCTCCCCCGATTGCTCAGTTTGGCTGGGTGGCCAGCTCAAGGAAAAGTCTTGATGGTTCCAAACATTGTCCATTTAAGAATGATGGAGGCCACTGTGTTCTTGGGGACCTACAATGCTGCAGAAATGTTTTGGTACCCTTCCCCAGATCTGTGCCTCAACATAATCCTGTCTTGGAGCTCTACGGACAATTCCTTCGACCTCGTGGCTTGGTTTTTGCCACTGTGGGACCTTATATAGACGGGTGTGTGCCTTTCCAAATCATGTCCAATCAATTGAATTTACCACAGGTGGACTCCAATCAAGTTGTAGAAACATCTCAAGGATGATCAATGGAAACAGGATGCACCTGAGCTCAATTTCGAATCTCATAGTAAAGGGGTTGAATACTTATGTAAATACATATTTTTCTAAAATATGTATTTAATACATTTGCAAAATGTTCTACAAACCTGTTTTTGCTTTGTCATTATGGGGTATTGTGTGTAGATTGCTGAGGATTTGTATTTATTTAATCCATTGAAGAATAAGGCTGTAACGTATTAAAATGTGGAAAAAGTCAAGGGGTTTGAATACTTTCCAAAGACACTGTATATAAACGTCCAGGTCGGAAGATTTGGCTTGCTCAAACATGCATCTCTATAATTATTATTCTACAATGTACAAATGGCAAGGGCAATGCTGTGAGTTTGAAGCATTGAGACGATAATTGTTCACTCCTGTAACTGCTAGCTGAATACCAGATCCCCTTCAGCTAATTTCTGACCTCACATTCTACACTGAATGACAACAAGTTTAACTGAGTACAGAAAACCCCTTTCCTTGTACTTTTAACACTTGTTTCTGTCAGATATATCAGTGACTTTACTGTTGAAGGTATTGCCTCTGTGCCTCTGTGATTTGAGGGTCATTATTTTTAGCTTAATAGTTACATGACTATACTAAAACTGCACAATAGCACAAATTCAAATCAATCCTTTCTAATATACAGTACTGTTCAATACACAATAGTCACAAGTCACAATACTCAAACTGTACTCCTTAACATAAACTGTGTTGTGCAGGACAAGTGGCTCCTCCACTCTGTCCTAATGCTGGTCAAGTCCTGGATTGAGCCATTGGTGTACCTGCAAACCACCTTAGATCGCTATGACGACGCCCCCGACACTCTACTCAACAAGACCAAATGGGTGTCAGAAAAACTCCTTAGTTTGGAGCAAGGAGTGGTGGTCCTCATCAGGAAGGTACTTCAGCATCAGCAGTTACTCTAATACTTGTAGCTTTTAGGCATTTTCTCCTTTAGACCAATGCATTTTCACACAATGCAAATCCATTAGCACTAATTTGCTCACATCTCTTTCTCCTCTATGTATGCCTAATTTCCTTGACTTCACCTCTCTCTCTCTCTCTCTCTCTCTCTCTCTCTCTCTCTCTCTCTCTCTCTCTCTCTCTCTCTCTCTCTCTCTCTCTCTCTCTCTCTCTCTCTCTCCCCATCCCCCTGTCTATTCTGTCCTGTCCTTCCTGTTTACTATAGATGCTGGACGACGATATGCTGACCACCTCCTACTACGAGCAGGTTGTGGCTCCGTATGACCTGCAGCCTGAGGTGCTGGAGTCAGTTCTGAGGGACTACACTCTCCTCAGCTGCTTCAAGAAGGACGCCCACAAGATGGAGACCTTCCTCAAGCTCCTCAAGTGTCGCCAGACTGACAAATACAGCTGTTTCCATTACTAGAGAACAACTATTCCCACCCCATTCAAACCCCTACTATTGTATGGACTTAACAAGACACTACCCCCCATAATGAGGCTAGCGTTAAAAAAACATCCTCCCTGCTTCTGGTGCCCCCACATTTGCCATAAACACATAGTGAGGTCGACTGATATAACCACTGCCTTAGGGTGTCTAACCTCGTGCCTGGTTCAATACAGAATGTTAGCAACTGACTGTTTCCAAACATTTTCGTACGTGCACCACTAAGTAGGTGTAATGGTTTGCCACTTTTTTAGAAAAGCTGCATTTGATATTTTCCTCTATATTTTTTTAACCTGGCAAGATGATTTGCATCTTGCTATGTAAAAATAAATAAAAAAAAGCCATATTTTGCGATTTATTTCAATTTCCTTTGTTCTTTAGTGGAGTTTGTGTTCCTCCCTGGTTCTGCACTGTTTTGATTATTTCTGTGGCCCCTTGTGTATTCGGAGACATTCTGTTCTTCTTGTTGAGCTGGCTTCACCTCTGCATTAGTGAAATGAAACACACTCGGTAGGAGACGGGACTCAAAGGAAGAGCAGACGATACAGACAAAGAGAAGGTCTGGAGATATTCTGACAGGGAGAGAAGAGATAAGAAAAAATTTTGTAGGACAGGATATGAATTAGCATTATTTTTAATTATTCCCATACCAGATTGTGTTTATCTCAAAATTACACAGAGGTCAGAATGAGGTCTTAAGTAAGGACTATTTTTAGAGTGTAAAATACCTTGATGATGCGTGTAACTGGCAAGACCAAAATAGGAAACACATTTTTTCATGATAATCACAAAACATTTCCCAGAATTTATGGACCTGCTTATATTCAGCAATCATACTTTTTGTAGATTTGATGGACAGTTGATGTGTCTTTATTATTTTAAATGGAACATTGGTGGAGGGTTAGCATGAAACTGTTCCATTGGTCCTATAGTAATGCTTAGCAAAGAGTAGAGGTATCCATGTGCCATAAACAAATGAAAGGCCATAACCATCAGTAACTGAAGAGTTGCAAGAAGGGAATTTTCTCTGATCTGAAATATTGACTTTGTGAGAGTGCTTTTGGTCAAAGATATGGTTCAAAAGATATGGTTCAATTACCCTTCTTAGCTATGACAGAGAAGCCAAAGGAAGTATCTCTGAAGGACGACGAAATGGAAGAGAGAAAAAAACTGTCTGACACACAGATTAATTACAAACTTGGATTTAAAGCTCCTGTATGCAACCCCAACGCACCATTTTAAACACATTGTCTAGAGTTTTTTTTTTCCTATGGCAACATTGATGGTCTGTTATTAAGGAAAACATTGCAACGGTGGAAAGGGGTACACTGCCCACCACCCCTGCGTTATAACCCATTATCGCTCCACCTAATACTAAAGGATATCTGGTTTCAGAAGAATTACTCACCTTTTCTGCTGTAAGAGCTCAAAGCTTCCCTTACAGTAACTAGGCAATGTGTTCCTTGGAAATGTCTCAGTTGTAAAATTATCTGTAGATAATAATTATGTGTATTTCAAGCCACGTTACCAAAATACGGCTTTACTAGAAAGGCACAGTACGTTTGTGATTATCAATAAAGACAATAGTTTATGTTGCAAATTTAATATTATGTAAATGATGTTTCATTTTATTGTTGTGTTGATATGACTTTTTTGGACTACATCAGTGGTTTCCAAACAGAGGGGTTGGCAGGGGGGGCCCGACTGTTCCTTTTTTCCCTTCTTTTTTGTTGTTGATTTTGCTGTAATGTTTGAGTCACTCAGATATCTCATGAACACACATAAGACATGGCAAAATGTGTAGAATTGCAGGAAATTAGCTTTAAAACTGGGGGGGAGGGGGATGTTCCCCAATGATGAAAGGTAGGCCCAAGTGAAAAGGTTTGGGAACTGCTGGACTATGTGATTGCCCTCTCCTTCCCACCCCATTGCACCAGGTGGCAGCAGTGCTCTGTCATTTGACCTGAGAAGATTGCAGTTTGCTCAATCCACTTAAAATATACCCTTTGATCTAGGCATACATGTAACTTAATATGCGTCCTATTGAAAGCAAAATGTAAATGTAGCAGTGGAATGCTGATGTGTAATAGAGCTGGACACGTGCTTTTGAACATTTGACACACATTTCACGCAAACATAATTTAGCCTGCTGTTTCAGGAAGGAAGGAAAGTGAGATACATTGCAACATGAAATCATATTCATAGGAACTAGTATGGGCCCTCTCTCTGCATGTACAGTGCCTTCAGAAAGTATTCAAACCCCTTGGCTTTTTCCACATTTTGTTACGTTACAGCCTTCTTCTAAAATGGACTAAATAATTTTTTCCCCCTCATCAATCTACACACAATACCCCATTACGACAAAGCAAAAACAGCTTAAAAAAAACAGAAATATCACATTTACATAAGTATTCAGACCCTTTAGTCAGTACTTAGTTGAAGCACCTTTGGCAGTGATTACAGCCTTGAGTCTTCTTGGGTATGACACTACAATCTTGGAACCTTCGTCCCAGTCTGAGGTCCTGAGCACTCTGGAACAGGTTTTCATCAATGATCTCTCTGTACTTTACTCTTTTCATCTTTCCCTCAATCCTGACTAGTCTCCCAGTCCCTGAAAAACATCTCCACAGCATGATGCTGCCACCACTATGCTTCACCGTGGGAATGGTGCCAGGTTTCCTCCAGACGTGACGCTTGGCATTCAGGCCAAAGAGTTCAATCTTGGTTTCATCAGACCAGGCAGCCAGCTATTGGACCAGTCTTGGTGGTTCCAAACTTCTTCCATTTAAGAATGATGAAGGCACTGTATTCTTGGGGACTTTCAATGCTGCAGAAATGTTTTGGTACCCTTCCCCAGATCTGTACCTCGACACAATTCTGTCTTGGAGCTCTATGGACAATTCCTTCGACCTCATGGCTTGGTTTTTGCTCTGATATGCACTGTCAACTGTGGGACCTTATATAGACAGGTGTGTGCCTTTCCAAATCATTTCCAATCAATTAAATTTACCACAGGTGGACTCCAATCAAGTTGTAAAAACATCTCAAGGATGATCAATGGAAACAGGATGCCCCTGAGCTCAATTTCGAGTCTCGTAGCAAAGGGTCTGAAAACTTACAGTTGAAGTCGGAAGTTTACATACACTTAGGTTGGAGTCATTAATACTCGTTTTTCAATCACTCCACAAATTTCTTGTTAACAAACTATAGTTTTGGCAAGTTGGTTAGAACATCTACTTTCCAACAATTGTTTACAGACAGATTATTTCAATTATAATTCACTGTATCACAATTCCAGTGGTTCAGAAGTTTACATACAATAAGTTGACTGTGCCTTTAACCAGCTTGAAAAAATCCAAAAAATTATGTCATGGCTTTACAAGCTTCTGATAGGTTAATTGACATCATTTCAGTCAATTGGACGTGTACATTTACATTTACATTTTAGTCATTTAGCAGACGCTCTTATCCAGAGCGACTTACAGTTAGTACCTGTGGATGTAGTTCAAGGTCTCCCTTCAAACTCAGTGCCTCTTTGCTTGGCATCATGGGAAAATCAAAAGAAATCAGCCAAGACCTCAGAAAAATTATTGTAGACCTACACAAGTCTGTTTCATCCTTGGGAGCAATTTCCAAACGCCTGAAGGTACCACATTCATCTGTACAAACAATAGTACACAACTATAAACACCATGGGACCACGCAGCCGTCATACCGCTCAGGAAGGAGACGCATTCTGTCTCCTAGAGATGAACGTACTTTGGTGTGAAAAGTGCAAATCAATCCCAGAACAACAGCAAAGGACCTTGTGAAGATGCTGGAGAAAACAGGTACATAAGTATCTATATCCACAGTAAAACGAGTCCTATATCAACATAACCTGAAAGGCCGCTCAGCAAGGAAGAAGCCACTTCTCCAAAACCGCCATAAAAAAGCCAGACTACGGTTTACAACTGCACATGGGGACAAATATCATATTTTCTGGAGAAATGTCCTCTGTTCTGATGAAACAAAAATAGAACTGTTTGGCCATAATGACCATCGTTATGTTTGGAGGAAAAAGGGGGTATCTTGCAAGCCGAAGAACACATTCCCAACCGTGAAGCACAGGGGTGGCAGCATCATGCTGTTGGGGTGCTTTGCTGCAGGAGGGACTGGTGCACTTCACAAAATAGATGGCATCATGAGGAAGGAAAATTATGTGGATATATTGAAGCAACATCTCAAGACATCAGTCAGGAAGTTAAAGCTTGGTCGCAAATGGGTCTTCCAAATGGACAATGACCCCAAGCATACTTCCAAAGTTGTGGCAAAATGGCTTAAGGACAACAAAGTCAAGGTATTGGAGTGGCCATCACAAAGCCCTGAACCCAATCCTATAGAAAATGTGTGGGCAGAACTGAAAAACCGTGTGCGAGCAAGGAGGCCTACAAACCTGACTCAGTTACACCAGCTCTGTCAGGAGAAATTCACCCAACTTATTGTGGGAAGCTTGTGGAAGGCTACCCAAAACGTTTGACCCAAGTTAAACAATTTAAAGGCAATGCTACCAAATACTAATTGATTGTATGTAAACTTCTGACCCACTGGGAATGTGATGAAAGAAATAAAAGCTGAAATAAATCATTCTCTCTACTATTATTCTGACATTTCACATTCTTAAAATAAAGTGGTGATCCTAACTGACCTAAGACAGGGCATTTTTACTAGGATTAAATGTCAGGAATTGTGAAAAACTGGGTTTAAATGTATTTGGCTAAGGTGTATGTAAACTTCCGACTTCAACTGTATGTAAATAAGGTATTTATTTTTGTTATTTTTTATACATTTGCAAACATTTCTAAAAACCTATTTTTGCTTTGTCATTATGGGGTATTGGTTGTAGCTTGATGTATTTGTATTTATTGAATCCATTTTAGAATATATATAGCTGTAACGTAACAAAATGTGGAAAAAGTCAAAGGGTCTGAATACTTTCC